ATATATATATATATATATACAACATGATTTGTTTGGCACAGTCTGAACTCAGACGTGTGATTGTAAAATATGTATAAGAGTGCATATAAGTTCCGTGGATCTGTTTTAACATAAATCTTATCTCGGTTTGATCATTCGCAATCCCAATTGAGATGAGCAAAATGTAAGCACCTTATCGTACGGAAGACGTATATGAATATCAATGCGGTTCTGTAAGAAATAGATAACTAACATTTAGTACACTTAAACAAAAGATTGGCATAAATTGACAGTGAAAAGGAGTGAGTACTCACGTCTAAATTTCCTAAGTCCGCGTAAATAGACAACGTGATATAGTCCACGGAGATCGTATGCAATAGTCCGGTGTGTAATCGATTGCGTGGGCAAATGTCACAAGGTCAAGTACATTCATTGGCTGGATTTGCGTGAGTAAATGGGTCAGAGTGGTGAGGTGAAAGGTGCGGTTAGTGCATGTATGGTCATGTGACTGGTTGCCTAGTGGGTCACGACGAGACTGCACCTTGACGTGGTGTGATGGCACGTGCACCTCTGTGGCCCAGCGAGCTACACAGGATGACTTTTGTCGAGCCAGGAGATCTTATCATGCCTGGAAGGTCAATGGGTAGAGGTCAGACGATGTTCAGTCTCGTGGTCCTCCAGGTTGGGGGTTCGCCTGGAATTTGCGTTTCATTCAATAGCAACTGGTGAAGGAGTAATCGATCCAAGAAAATGGGCCTTCGCTTCGTTTCACCCGCTGCCTTGCGGTCAGGTTCTTGTTAGAACTAAAGACTTGGCGAGAATCCTAATCGTTCGCCTGCTGATTGGCTGGACACCCTAGCAGTACCCGTCCATCAAACCCTAATGCATACACAAACTAAAAGTGATTCCATGCTGCATCGGTAGTCGCGCAGAAGGATCAGGACCGAGTTGCCCATTAAATCGGGCGGGGTGGGGAGTGATAGGTGGGCTACTGCTCAGATAGTGGTGTGGGATAATTGGTTTTATTGATCTGGGCTGACTATCCTTCGGACTTCAACTTCACGCGCAATCCTCACTTCATCGATTCAACCATACACCCGGAAGCACTAGACTCGAGCTTTGCTCTTATTAGAGCTCATCAGTAGTGCATATCCACCGTCCTGTCCGGGATTTGAACTGCGGACCCATCGCATGAAAGGCTTGTGCGTTACCACTGTGCCAACCAGGTCATACCATGGCCGAACCAAATTGTCAATTCATGTTTGTTCAGGTGTCGTCTTCGGTGATAGTCAGTTCATTGGGTTCGACAGCAATGTAGGGAGACACGACATGCTGCTAACTCCAATGGAAAGCATGGCATGAACTGGTTGGTACAGTGGTAACGCACACCTTCCATGCGATGGGTCCGGAGTTCAAATCCCGGACGGGACGGTGGATATGCACTACTGATCAGCTCTAATAAGAGCGAAGTTGGAGTCTAGTGCTTCCGAGTGTATTGTTGAATCGATGAACTGAGGATTGTGCGTGAAGGTGACGTCCGAAGGATAGTCAGCCCAAACCAATAAATTGCAACCTTTGTTTAATTCTGTCTTCAGTACCTAGCCCTCCCCATTTACCCATCCTGCCAACCTCTATTAGTACCTCAGGCATCTTTGATGTCGCTCATCAAAGTTCGTTGCCAAATAGCGCCGT